GTGCTACATCCGGAAAAGGAATGGACGAGGAGGAGCAGGAGGAGAAGGAGGCGGAGGAGGACGGATGATTCTCGCTCCTCCTCTCGTGATCTCTCGTGATCCTCGATCCTCGAGCGTCCTCGATCCTCGACCCTGCCCCTTCGCGACCAGAGATCTCTGTCCTGATTTGTTCCACACGGGATTTCGCTGCCCGTGCCCTTGGGACGCTCTCTCCTCCCTGAGCCTCTTTGCCCGGACGGGGCTGGGCCCCGGTGAGGGCCCTCGGGGGGCCGAGGGCAGCCAGGAGCCTTCACTCAGCACCGGCTGGGGAGCACGGCGCTATAGAATTGGCGCCGCGCGTGAGGCAGCTCTTCGGCCCCTGGACGGCACCCGACGGCTTCCGGATCGTCGGCCTCCGCACCAAGCCCGACGACAGGATTGGCAGCCGCGTGGTCGCCTGGGCACCGACATCGCCCCACCTCCTCGCCATCGCCGACGTCGTAGGCGTCGTCGTCGTCGTCGCGGGGGAGGAGGGAATGGCGCAGAAGGAGGATGAGGAGGTCGTCATCGGTTTCGTCGTCGCGGAGGAGGATGATGATGATGAGGAGGAGGAGGAGGAGGATGAGGAGGAGGAGGAGAAGGAGTTAGGAGGAGGATGGAGAAGGAGGAGGAGGAGGCGGAGGAGGATCAGGAGAGGAGGAGCATCTCTTCGGGACTTGTTGTTTTGTTGCCTCCGGAGGCCGCCGGAGGCTTCTGGGGCTCGCCAGAGGCCGGGGCTTCGGGAGACCTCCAGAGACACCGACGTCTGGCGACTCGAGCGAAATCGCGCCAGAAGTTTATCACGATGTGTGGCGTCCGGGGTCCAGGGGCAGGAACGTGGATGAAAGTCTGCGGCCCTCGCCTCGAGTGGAATGGGCGCGCCTGAGTTGGACCGTCAGCCACGACGTTGCCGGTGCGGCGGGCGGGACAATCTCCTGCCACACGCCCCCGCACCGACGCCACACTCTCCAGTAAAGCAGACACCGTGGTTACAATGCTTGCACGAGAGCACACGGGGGATGGGCGGGTGGGTCCTGGGCGCTTCGTCTGTCTGGGCCCAGACCGCGAGGCCAGCGCAAGGGGCCACCTCGGGGGCCCTGTTGGCCCAGGGGGCCAACACGGGCCAGCATAGATAGACAAAGTCCTGCCCTCCCACGCCAGGTGGAGGCCACTGCAGAGCGGGTCCCTTCGGGCCACTTCGAGCCAGGTGCTTGCCGTCCCGCCCCTGCGAGACGCCTGCCCCTGCCGAGGAAGCAATCCGTCGCCCCCGTGGGAGCCACCCAAGCCATGAGGCCCTATGCGCACAGAAATGCATGAACCTTTTGAACCAGATAAGCGATGAACCGACGGACCCCGTCTCGGTTGCAGATATCCCGCCCCTGCGACATTTCCTTTTTAGGGGGCATATAAAACGACTCAGGATAAAGCCAGGTTTGGCGGAGCGGCCGATAGTGCATGGGCCGACGGTTCGCACCCAAAGAGGATGACAGGAGAGCCTTTTTGTCCTCCCTCCTCCCGCCTCCTCCTCCTGCTCCTCAGATTTGTCACCAGAAGGTGTGGCCTCCCAACCTTCAGAAGGAGGCGGAGGAGGAGGAGACAAGGAGGGAAAAGGGAGGAGGGAGGAGGGAGGAGGAGGAGGAGGAGGAGGACAGTGTAAACCCAAGACTCACCAACCGTGTTGCGATATACCCTCCCTCCAAGTTCCCTCTTCATTGGTCGCTGCAAATATGTATTTCCACTGCGGGAAGTGCCCCGTTGGAAGACAACCGTCTGAATATCTACAACCATGCCAAATCACCACTCCTGGGACTCCGTGCCATAATACGATGCCTGAGACGTCAACACCGCATGTCAACGTGACTGTCGCGCTCTGACAATCCGAAGTCGTGCCAAAACGCAATTTCTGGGACGTCAGCGATCTGAATCCCTGGAACTGCTGCAAACTGTCAAGACGAATGTGTGCGGCGCGAAGGCCAGGGGGAAAAGAACCGCCCTCCATCCGTGAAACCCTTGCGAACGTTTGAGACGACTACGTGCTGCGCTGAGGCGAGAGCCACCTTTTGAGCACGACCCGCCCTTCGTCCGTGAAGCGGTTGCAACTTCTTCAACCTCGGGATCGTAATTGGTGAGGAAGTCTCAGGCGAAACTCCTGGCCTTCCCTACCAACCCGTCTCGTGGTGCGACAGGGATGGAGGAGGAGGGAGGAGCGAGGAGCGAGGAGGGAGGAGGGAGGAGGAGGAGGAGGAGGAGGAGGAGGAGGAGGAGGAGGAATGGCGAAGATGGGAGGAGGAGGAGGAGGAGGATGGGGGAGGAGAGGAGGGAGGAGGACGAGGGAGGAGGTTCGGTTCGGTCGTCCTCGCAGGGGCGAGTCAGGCTCGCAACTGCACGGCGGGCGCCGATTCCCCGGGAAACGACCGCCGAGGCGGGATGAGGAGGAGGGAGGGATGGGGAAGGAGGGAGGAGGGAGAAGTGAGGGAGGGAGGGAGGAGGGAGGAGGAGGAGGAGGAGGAGGAGGAGGAGGAGGAGGAGGAGGAGGGAGGAGGAGGGGGGAGGAGGAAGGAGGATGACGGGAGGAGGGAGGAAAGAGGGAGGGAGGGAGGGGATGAGGAGGAGGAGCCTGGTGTGCCCATCGCTGCCCAGGGCCTCCCTCCCGAGAGGTCGGCGTCCACCTGTGGCCCCTGCCCTCCGCGAGGAGCCACGACACAGGCGCGCAAGCGCGCGCGCGCGGGGTTCTGCTCCTCGCCCCCGTCGCCCTCTCTGGTGCGAGTGCCGGTGCGCTCTGCCTCTCCTCTCCCTCTGGCTGCCCTCGTCGCCTCCTCCTCCTTGTCCCCCCTCCCCCCTCCGCCAGGGGCTGCGACACTCTTGAGGCCCCCCAGGTGGGGTTTGAGCTGACGGGGTCGGAGGATCGCGCCGCATCGCCGTTGCATCGGCGATGCATCGGCGATGCGGCTCGATGCGGGGCCCAGTTGTCACCACGCCGACGTCGCCGATGCATCGCCGACGTCGCCAGTGCAGGCCGATGCATCCCAATGCATTGGCCATGCATTGCCGACGTCTCAGCCATGCGGCGAAATCATCCGACTCCATCTACTCGGACCCCATCTCGGAGGCCTCTAATTCTGCCTCTCCTCTCCCTCGGCTGTCCTCGCCGCCTCCCTCTAGTCCCCCCCCCTCGCCTCGACACAGGGCGCGCCTGCGCGCGCGCGGGGGGCCTCCTCCCCCTTGCCTCCTCCTCGCCCTCGCCCTTCTCCTCCCCCTCCCCCTGCCACTGGTGCTACGAGCCTGGCGCATGCGCGCTGCGCGAACTAGAGTCGTGTCCCTCTGCGACGGGATCTTTTCGAGGGGTCCACGGCGGATTCCTCAGTCTGAGTTCTCGCGCACCATCTCCCTTGGCTTTGTGATTAATCCCAGACGTCGATGTGGAACAAAAAGACGTCCTCCGCTTCCGCCCTCCTGGGCGCTCCTGAGCGAGGGCGTCTCGAGGCTCGAGCTTCGACGATTTCGAAGTTCGAGGTTTTCGGACGTTCACGTCGTTTCTCGGTGGCCTTCCAGCCTCGGGGTGCTCTCCAGCAGCTGCGACGTGCTGAGAGCGTTCTGGGATGGCTTGCTAATATGTTTCAATAGCCCTTAATCGTTCTGACGAAGACCTCCCAGGAGTTGCCTTCCAACTCGTCGTCCCTCCCCCTCCTCAGCGAGGTGCGGCGCTGCTCTTCGCGAGCGAGCACGAGTTCCTATACACGCTGCAGCGGCTGCTGTCGCAGGCGCAGATCGACGTTAACGGCTTCGGTGTGGGCGGGGTCACCGGCCTCATGATGGCGGCGGAGAACGGAAACGTCGGAGCGATGAGGACGGTCGGGAAACGGGGGCAGGCAGGAGAAGGACGAGGAGGCAGGAGGAGGGGGGGGTGAGGAGACTCATGATAAGAATGGGGCAATCGGAGGTGTGGGGGGGAGGGTGGAGGGTGGGGGAGGGGGGAGCGAGTAGGTGGCGGATGTGGAGGAGGGGGGTGGATGTGGAGGAGAGGAAGGATGAGCTCGAGCAGAAGGAGGAGGAGGAGCAGGTGGAGGATTTGGATGAAGAGGAGGAGGAGGAGGAGGAGGAGGAGGAGGAGCAGGACGAGTTAGTGGAGCAGGAGGAGGACGAGGATGAGGATGAAAAGGTGAAGGAAGCTGAGAAGACGCGGGAGGCGGAGGATGATGATAAGGATGATGGGAACGTTTTGCTAGCGTGTCGCGACACCCGTTCTGGCCCTCCAGGCTTCGGCGCGACATGGCAACCACGTCTCGGCCACGGAGCGTCACAGTCCCGAGTTTTCGCCAGTCTCCCGCCCCGCGGAACGAAGGGACGCCATCAGCTTGCCGCCGCGGCACGCCAAGCAGAAGTTCCTGAGCGTATCTTCACCGTGCCACCAGCCAGTCCAGAAACCGAATCGTCATTAGAAGGTTTAGTTGAGGAGCGTTCTCGAACTGAGGAGGGGGACCCTAGTTGACACGTGATCAGCCAAAGCAGGTCGTCAATGCAGCGCTTGTGTGCAGAAGTACGTGGTTAGATAATCGTGTATGCCGCCGTCTCGGGTACCCATCGTGCGCTAACTATAGCCTGCTGAAGGCTAGAATGGCGTATTGTAGTTTTGTTTCGTTCACCTTAGCTTAGTGTTAGCTTTCTCTCCTTCTCTCTCTCTCTCTCTCGCTATCCCTGCCCGCCCACGACGCAAGCACATATGCACACATATGTGTGCATTATGTATACATGCGTTTGGCGATGGGGGCTCTTGAGGCCCTGTGGGGTTTTCTTCGGGCCATTTTGGGCCTCTCTTGGTAATCACCTGGGCGTCTTGAGGGCCTTTTTGCCCGCCCTCCCCGCTCCCCCCTCGAGGCCAGAGACGAAAGATGGTGTTTTTTTGTGTGAGTGCCCCCCCTTGGGAACCGAACGCACGTGTTTTCTTCAACCATCTTGCGTGAGTGGGGTCCTCGTTTCGAATCAGCAGCGCCGCGCCCTCCCCCTCCTCTCCCTGCCTCTGCCCTGCGCAGCTGTCTCATTCATTGTCGCCGCGCCCTCATATGAGGCGTTCCAGAAAGGGCCTTGCCTTCGAGGATAGAAGGTCATCTGTTCCGCCGCAGAAGGCGGCGGAAGGTCGGCGGAAGTAAAACGAGGCATCCTCCACTGGATCCCTTACTAATCGACCCCCCAACAAAAACCGCTAACCCCCTCCTTCGCGACATCATTTTCCAGAACCCCTCTCCGCAGAGGGCGCCTGAATATTCTGGACCCCTCCCTCAGCAACATTGCGAGCGCGATGAAGTCCCGACCCCCAGCATGGCCAGACAGAGCGAGGAGCCCCACGCATGTCGAAAACCCAGCTGGTTCTAAAGGCCACGGTGCGTAAGGGTGGTGTGCAATTGCATGCGCAAAAGGCGCCCTGATAAAGTGGACCCCCCTGAACGTCGGCTTCAAGAAAACGCCTGAATGAACCGGACCCCCCTGCATCCCCAAAAAGGCGCCTTACAAAACCGGACACGGGGGACGATACTATTGAGGGATCCGGAGTCCGTCGGCGGAAGCCGGCGGAAGCTCGGCGGAAGGCGGCGGAAGTAAAAGATGTGGCCCCAAGAGATGAACACGTGTTTGGGTTCAGGGTCTTCGACATCGAGAAGGACATCATAGTACTATTATTATCTCTGTGCGCCCCGATTGCCAACACCTTCTCGAATGTCCGCGCGGAATTTTCCCAGGTCTCCCCGCGTGGAAATCGCCCATTTGCTTTGTTGCGGGACGGGAAAATGACCACAGCCACTGCTTCTTGTTTGCGCCGCTTTCCGGCCGGCCGAGAAAGACGCAGTGGCTGTGGTCATTTCCCTGGTGCCAAGCTCAACGAAAATGACCACAAACACTGCTCTGTTTCTGCTGGCTGGAATCTGCACGAACGAGATGGGCACGGAAAGAATGGACACAACGCCCAACAGCAATTCCTGTTCCTTTTGAACAGGACTCGCTGTCCGCGCCGCCACGGCCTTTGTCCATTCGAGACAGAAGGCCGCCTGCCCAACAGCGGCCGCTGCTGGTTTGGGACAACATTTGCTGTTGGGCATTGTACCCATTCTTTCCGTACCCAATTTCGGGCGTCCAAATGGAAGGCGGCAACATAAGAAAAGCAATGGCTGTGGTCGTTTTCACGTCCCGTATTCGTGGCCCCAGGGGAGCTCCACCCACGGCCTCCCTGGGCACGACCGCCGGGCGCTCCGCGAGGCGCGCTCGTCGCGCGCTCCGGGGCTCGACAAGGGGCGGCCCCCCCCCTGCGAGGAGGAGGAGGAGGAGGAGGAGGCAGCACGACGCGCACGCCCCCAAGTCGGCACACGGGAGCTCAGCCTGCGGTCTTAGTGGGCGCGGCCGCACGGCGCAAGCAGCCGCCGCGCGGCGCATGCGGCACCCGATGCGTGGCACCATCGGGAGCCTCACCCACGCCGCCGTGCAGGAGGTGTGTGCCCTCAAGAGATGAAAGCGTGTTTGGGCTCGGGGTCATCGAAGGCGCCCATCGGTGTTTGGGTCGGGTGGTCTTGTATGTCTCTGTGCGCCCCGATTCCCCCCCCCACACACACACACTCCCGAATGTCCGCGCGGAAGTTTCCCAGGTCTCCCCTCGCGCCCTGAAGGCGTTGCCGTTCCCGCGTCGCTAAGTAGAGGGGCGCGCGCTCCGCGCGCCGTGGAGGGGTGCGTGGGCCGCGGCTCACGGAGACCGCCGGGGGCTGGGCGACGGGGGGGGACGCATAGACTTCGATAGGGGGGGGGGGATAGGCGATAGGGATTGGCGACAGGGGGGATCGGCGATAGACCATCCTCGAAGAAGCAAGGATGCCACAAACGTACACTTTTGGCGCTGCCTGCCGGCTTCTCGGGTCCGCGCGTAGGGCCCCGCTACCGCGGCGCCGCTTCCGGCGCCGCCCCTGGCGCGCGCTCCGCGCGACCGGGAGGGGGGTGTCCAGTGCAGATCCAAGAATCTGCGCGCCCGAAATGGGCACGGAAAGAATGGGTACGATGCCCAACAGCAATTCCTGTTCCTTTTGAACAGGACTCGCTGTCCGCGCCGCCGCGGCCTCTGTCCATTCGAGACAGAAGGCCGCCAGCCCAACAGCGGCCGCTGTTTGTTCGGGACAACATTTGCTGTTGGGCATTGTGCCCATTGTTTCCGTACCCAATTTCGGGCGTCCCAAAAGAAACCCGCGCGGAGCGCCAAAAGTTGATGTGCATGCGGTTTTGGTCTTCTTCTCACAGGTGGGGGGGGGTGCATCGACCTCCACTCGCGCATGGATCGCCGAGAGAGGCCCGAGAGCCCGCACCTGTCCAAGAGCGCGCTGATTCACGATCGGGACCCCACCGCCGATCTACGTGGCGATGCAGCGCCGATTCCAGGTCGATGTGTCCCCACCCTGTGGCAGTCCCCCCCTTGATCGCTGCCCCCCAGGCCAGGACCGAAGAGCAAAAACGGCATAAGCATAACGTGCCGGAGCTCCACGCGGAGTTCGCGGCTCGGCGCTGGAGCCCCCTAGCTGAGGAGGGGAGAAACACACAGACACAATCAATCATCGACTCCCAGGCAAATATGAGAAACTATGGGATGTGTGTGGGAAGACAAAAACCCAGAAAATACACGAAATTACCTGGAGCCCACCATATGTAGTTGTGGGAACCGCAAGCGTGAGCATCTTCTTCGGTGGCGATCCCTTTGGGGCCACGAACCGCATGAGGGGTGTGCCGAATTGCGTGGCGGGCCGTGTGAGGGGTGTGCCGTAACGTGTGGCGGTGACGCATGCAATCGCACCCACTGGGGCCTTCGGTGGAGCTCCCTGTGGGGCCACGAACCGTGGGAGGGGTGTGCCGTAATGGGCGGCGGTGACGCATGCAACCGCAGACACTGGGGCCTTCGGTGGAGCTCCCTATTGGGCCACGAACCGTGTGAGGGGTGTGCCGTAGTGGGTGGCGGTGACGCATGCGAACACACCCACTGGGGCCCTCGGTGGAGCTCCCTATGGGGCCACGAACCGTGTGAGGGGTGTGCCGTAATGTGTGGCGGTGACGCATGCAACCGCACCCTTTGGGGCCTTCGGTGGAGCTCCCTATGGGGCAACGAACATTGTGAGGGGTGTGCCGTAATGGGTGGCGGTGTCGCATGCAACCGCACCCATTGGGGCCTTCGGTGGAGCTCCCTATGGGGCCACGAACCGTGTGAAGGTTGTGCCGTAATGGGTGGCGGTGACGCATGCCACCGCACCCACTGGGGCCTTCGGTGGAGCTCTCTATGAGGCAACGGACCGTGTGAGGGGTGTGCCGTAATGGGCGGCGGTGTCGCTTGCAACCGCACCCACTGGGGCCTTCGGTGGAGCTCCCTATGGAGCCACGAACCGTGTGAGTGGTGAGCCGTAATGTGTGGCGGTGACGAATGCAACCGCACCCACTGGGGCCCTCGGTGGAGCTCCCTATGGGGCCACGAACCGTGTGAGGGTGTGCCGTAATGGGTGGCGGTGACGCATGCAACCGCACCCACTGGGGCCTTCGGTGGAGCTCCCTATGGGGCCACGAACCGTGTGAGGGGTGTGCCGTAATGGGTGGCGGTGACGCATGCAACCGCACCCATTGGGGCCTTCGGTGGAGCTCCCTATGGGGCCACGAACCGTGTGAGGGGTGTGCCGTAATGGGTGGCGGTGACGCATGCGAACGCAGCCAGTTGGGCCTTCGGTGGAGCTCCCTATGGGGCAACAATTTGCGTGAGGAGTGTGCCGAAAGGATGATGATGACGATGCTGATGATGCTGCTGCTGCTGCTGCTGCTGCTGATGATGATGATGATGATGATGATGATGATGATGATGATGATGATGGTGGTGGTGACGGTGACTGTGATGCTGATGATGGGGAGAGGGAGTGGGGGGCAGCGGGAGGACGCGGGCGCTGTCTGTTCAAAACGAGGACCCAACACCACAGGACGGTTGGGAAATATGGGGAATCCTCAGATTTGTATGTATTGATCGGTGTGTGTGTGTGTGTGTGTGCGTGTGTGTGTGTGTGTGTGTGTGTGTGTGTGTGCCAGGGCCCTTTTACCAGCGCGCTCCACGCGCCAGGGAGGGGGTTCCAGCGCCGATCCAAGAAGGCATCCGCGCCGACCCCTCTGAGTTCACGTGTACGTCATTGCTGTTTTTCTAGTTGTGCGTGTTCTTCCGAGGATGCCGTTCCCCCCTCCCCTGTTGCTCGCCGGCCAATTCGCTAGTTAGTGCCCCTAGCTAGTTTGTCGCTGGGGCGGAGTTCGCCGCCTCGCCGCTGACGAAACAAGCTCTTCCGAGGATGCTCCTCGGCTCGAAGGCCAAGCCCAACGTCACCGACGGGGAGGGCTGGACGGCCCTCGCCTATGCCATTCACAGCGGCAACCAGGTCGCCGTGGAGGTGCTGCTCGAGGGAGGACCCTCGGCGATGACGATGACGACGACTACGACCACGACCACGACCATCACAACCACGACGACCACCGCGACGCGACCACGAGGAGGAGGGGAACGTGGAGGAGGAGGATAATGGGAATGATCGATGCTTTGGTTTTTTTGTTCTTACAATCCTGTGGAGATGGGTCCTCGCTTTGAAACAGCAGCGCCGCGCGTTTCACTCCTCCCCCCTCCTGCGCTCCACGTGTCCGTCCCAGCACACCCCTCACACACGCGTGGTCTCAGAGGGAGCTTTATCTACGGGCTTGGTGAGGGCGTCCGTTTGCGAACGACTGAGCAGAACTCCCTCTCGTTGTCGCCGCGGATGTTACCCAGTCGAGACGAAAAAGCGGTCGCCCGCCAAACAGCGGTTGCTGTCGATTTTGCACACGCTCTGCTGTCTGGCATCCTTGTGTCGGCGTCGCCGCGAACGTTTCTCAGTGGAGACAAAACAACGGTCGCCCGCCCAACAGCTGCTGCTGCTGGCTGCTGCTGGTTTTGCACACACGGCGTCGCCGCGAACGTGTCCCAGCTGAGACAAGACAACGGTCGCCTGGCCAAGAGCTGTGGCTGCCGGCTGCCGCCAGGTCTGCACACATTCTGTCGTTCGGCATAAGCATGCCCACTTCCCTTCTTCTTCCGTAGCGCTTCCCGGCGCGCGGATGTATTGGGTGATCCAGTGGGGCGACTTGGTGCCCATGGCCAGGCGGGCCAACGCTCAGGGAGCAATCGCCCCAGAGCGTTCCCGGAGCGTCCCGGAAGGCTCTGGAACGGCCCCGCGGCTCCCGACACGCCCTCCAGAATCGCCAGATCTCGGAGATCCCCGATCCAGAACCCCGAGTCGTCCCTGCCTGAGTTTGCCCGTGTCCTGGCTCCGTCTTACCTGTGGCCGGCGGTCCTCGGGAGGGAAAGATAGGCACAGCACAGGCACAAACAGCCGTCGATTTTTGTGACGAGATGGAAAAGCTTGGGAAGTGGAGGGGACGACGAGAATCCAGAACATCTCCAAAATGTATCGGGTATCGGAGATCCTAGGATTTGTGTCTATCTACTTTTGTGTGTGTGTCCTCGATGTGTGCCCCCCCCCCGTCGTTGGCCACGATCCTCGTGAGGGGTGTCAAACATTAAAATTGACCCTCCCAGGGAGAGAGCCCTCTGACACATCGGTTCCCGTCCCCCCCCGAAAACAAATTCAAGGCAGGGGAGGGGGATGGTTCCCCTCCCCGAAGGGAAGAGGGCCTGTGGCAGAGGAAAGAGACCCTCCTTGGAACACCTGTCGCCCAAAGGGCTGGTGGGATTTTGGTCACAACGCACCGAGAGACAGGTCCTGGGAGTGGCGGCGTTGGTGCCGTCTGGTTGCCCCAAGAATGCCCTCGGCGAGCCGCAGCTGCCAGAAAAAGCACCCCGAGACCGGAACACCGCCCAGAGCCGACGCAAACGCCCGAGCACCTCTCGCCTCGAACCCCTTTGAATTCCGCCCCCTGCGGCGCCGTCGCCCAGGAGCGGTCCAGGACGGCGACTCGGGCGCCGCGCTGCGCGACGCCCTGCGCCACGAGCACAACTCCGCCGCCCGCGCGCTGCTGCGCGCCGGCTTCGGCACCGCGCCGGCCGGCACTTTCTCGCTGGAGGACCTGGGCGCCTGCCTCGGCCGGGCGTGGCCGGAGGTGTGTCCTTGCCCGAGGTGCCCCCAGGATCACCAAGGAGGTCCTCGGCTTCCAGAGCTCCCCTCAGCCTCCTCCTCCTCCTCCCCCTCCCCCTCCTCCTCCTCCTCCTTCTCCTCCTCCTCCTCCTTCCTCCTCCTCCTCCTCCTCCTCCTCCTCCTCCTCCTCCTCCTCCCCCTCCTCCTCCTCCCTCCTTTTCCTCCTCCTCCTCCTCCTCCTCCGGCTCCTCCTCCTCCTTCTCCTCCTCTACCTCCTCCTCCTCCTCCTCCTCCTTCCTCCTCGTCCTTCCCCCGCGAGACCCGGAGGGCCCTAGGGGCTCCAGAGATGAAGCGAGAACCGGGACACCTTGGGGCCACGCTGGTGGCAACACCCGACTCGGCGGCGTCGCACGGCGCCGCACGGCGTCGTCGTGAGGCGCCGTCGTCGTTTCGGTGGCGGCGGCTTCGGCCTCGACGCCACTGTCGCCGGCGCCCCCCAGATCCCCTCGGGTTGTGTCAGAAGTCGAGTCGATACAGATGTTTCTTTTTTTCTGGCTCTGGGGGCCCTCGTCGGCCTCCCAGGACCGTCAGAATACGACGGGGAATGGGCCGAGACCTCCAGGGATACGTGCATTTTAAAAGTCACGACGTCGGGGGTCTGGGCTCGGCGGCGTCGCACGGCGTCGTCGTGCGGCGCCGTCGTGCGTCGTCGTCGTCGTCGTCGTCGTCGTCGTCGTCGTCGTCGTCGTCGTCGTGGTCGTCGTCGGCGGATGCGGCGGCTGCCTCGACGCCCTCGTCGGAGGCGGCGGCGGCGTCGTCGAAAGTCCAAGGAAGACAGGTACTGACACCGCTGCGGATTCCCTCGTCTTCGCCTTGAGATCCCTCTTGGGAGGCCCTCGTCACCACGGCTGGATTTGGCTCGGAGGTTTGGTCAGAACGAGAAGGAGAAGACGGAGAAGGAAGAGGCAGGACGAATGGTGAGAGAACCAGGTGACAGAGGACGGTGAGGATCTCCATCCCCTTTCTTTACTTCCCGCCGATGTGCCGCATCAGCTCTTATAGTCCATCAGCGTTGCGTCGGTCCAGTTATCAGTTGGAGTAGTTGATCCCACACTCCCCTCCTCCTTTCTCTCTTCCTCTCTTCTCCCTTCTCTTTCATCGTCCACTTCCCGCTTCCTCCTGCTCCATTCCTCCCCCATCCCTTCCCTTCCTGGTCTTTCCTCTCATCCCTCTCCTCTCGATCCCCTCCCCTCCCCGCCCCCCGACCCCATCCTCCATCAGGGGCGTCTATCGGACATCTCTGGAGCCTCCGGAGGCCCCCTTGGATGTACTGATGGTGTTTCCAGGGCCGCCATCGCTCGCAAACAGAGGCCAGGAAGTCTCTGGAGATCTCCAGAGGTCCGTCGGAGCCGGAGGCCGCCCTATGTCCCCAATCGACCGAGTACGAACAGAATCATCGATCCGCGAGCCGCGGTCCTCGGAAGGCCCCTCACCGCCTACGCCTCGGAGACCGTCGTCGTCGTCGTCGTCGTCGTCGTCGTCGTCGTCGTCGTCGTCGTCGTCGCCCCTCTCGTCGGCGTCGTCGGTGGCGTCAGCGTCGCCGACGTCGCCGGCCTCGGCGGCCTCCGTGTCTCGACCCTCTCGTCGTTGCAGTCGGCGTCGGTCGGTCGGCGAAAGGGGAGGAAGACGTGATGTGGAGGAAAATAGTGGAGGAGGAGGGGGAGGAGGCAGAGGAGGAGGAGGAGGAGGAGGAGGAGGAGGAGGAGAAGGAGGAGGAGAAGGAGGAGGAGGAGAAGGAGGAGGAGAAGGAGGAGGAGGAGGAGGAGGATGAGGAGGAGGGACGAGGAGGAGGAGGAGGGAGGAGAAGGAGTCATTATGATGAAGGGGGGGACCGGATGGGGACGCATTTGTGTATGGGGGCGGCCGGGGGGCGGGGGGGGGGGATGGTGGTGATGATTTGGGTGATGAGAGTCTGATCGTGGCTCTGGTGGCGGTGGTTGTGGTGATGTGTTGACTGCGATGACCGGAGTGATGATAATAAAGGGGAGGGCGAGAAACGCAACGACAAGAACGGAGGCTGCGTTATGAGGTGGCATGGCAGGGTAGAAGAGGAAGGGGGCGACGAAGAGGGATGACCACAATAGCCGGACTCCCTGATTCATTATTTTTCTGCAGCCCATTCTCTCTTGCACCCGCCCCCGTTTTTTCTCCAGTTTCGAGGAAACGAAGGGGGGGCGCAACTGATGAGAGTGATGATGCTAGTAGACGAGAACGACGAGAGGCGGGGGCGGGGGGGGGGCGCGAAAGACATTGGAGCGGTGGAAAGAGCTGGGGGGAGGGGGCTGTGTGAGGCGGAGGATTCTGCACGACGCGAGCGAGGGGAATATTGATACACAACAAGAGTGAGGAGGAGCATTGCAATGATGCGTGGTTCAGAAAGGGGGAAGGGAATGCAACGATGGTATTAATGACGAAGGCTGGCGAAAAGAGGGATGGGAATGTACAGGAACATGATGATGCAGACGTGAAGGCGGATACGGTGCTAGTGGCGTGTGGCGAGAGAACAATAAAGGGGGACACCGATGGATCCAGGAGTATGATGGAACGTGTTGCTGCGACGGTGGCGGTGTTACGGTGTTGACGATGATGTTTTTGATTATGTGAATGCTCGGTGTTGATGGAGGTGCTGGTGCCGACCATGTTGGCGAGGAGCTGGGTTATGATAGATTTTCGAAGGGCTTTCGCAAGTCTGCACGGGCCCAACAGAGGATACATTTGTTTTGTGAGTTCGCGTGCGTTTCTCTCCGTTCCCTGTCGTGTTCCCTGCGCGGAGTCCTTCTGGGCTTTCTGAGGGGGCTTGGGGGTGTTCTCTTTCGGGTTTCTTGGAGGCCTTCTTTGGGGCACGCCGGGGTCGCGGAAGCCATCTTGTGGGGGAGGGCGCCTGCGGCCCCTGCGAGTTACCCGTCTCGAGATTCAATCGAGGGCCACAGTGGCTGCCATCGGGGCGCCCACTGGGCAGTTTCCGTTGGCTGGCCTGTCCAAGCCTTCGCGCGGTGGGCGCTCCGTCGCCGCTTAAGGTCGCCGCCTTGTGCGTTGGCTGGCCTTCCCGGGTTCTCCCGCTGTGTGCGCCCGTGGCCATCGTCGTCGCCGTCTCGCCGCCCATCGCCTGCTGCGCGGCCGCCCCAAAGGCGCGCCTTCATGGGATTTCGCGCGGCGGGCGCTCGTCGCCGGTTCGTCGCCGCCCTGGGGTGTTGGCTGGCAACTCAGCGTTTGCTCTGGGCCGCGCCTGTCACCGCTGCGTCGCCGCCTCGTGATCCGTCGCCGCTTCGTAGCCGCCCCGCGTGTCGGCTGGCCCTTCTGGGCTCTCTCGGCGGGCGCCCGTCGCCGCTCTGTCGCCGTGTGGCAAGCTGGCTGGCATTCCTGGGCTTTTCCGCTGTCCGCGCCCGTCGCCGCTTCGTCGTTGTCTTGTCAGCTGTTTCGTCCCCGCCCAGCGTGCTGGCTGGCATGCCCAGGCTTTTTCGCGCGGTGGCCGACCGTCGCCGTCTCGTTGCCCCCCCGCTCGCTGGCTGGCACTCCCAGGTTTTCGCTTGGCTCGCGCCCGTCGCCATGTCGTCGCCGTTCGGCGCGTTGGCAGGCATCTCAGGGTTTTCTCGGTGGGCGCCCTTCGCCGCTTGGTCGCCGCCTTGGGCGTTGGCTGGCGTGCCCGGGTTTTCTCGCGGCGTGCGCCCGCCACCGCTTCGTCGCCACCTCGTCACCCGTTTCCGTTTCGTCGCCGCCCCGTGGGTTGGCTGGCGTTTCCGGGTTTCCGCACGGTGGGCGTCCGTCGCCGCCCCTCGCGTTGGCCGGCATTCCTGTGTTTTCAGGGCGGGCACGCGGAACGTTTGCACAGCGGGAGAAATCGCGCTGCGGCGCTGGACCAGTTTTGCAGCGTGTCGCTGAACGTACTTGCTCTCCTGCGTGGTTGTGGGCGGCGCCGCATGCGCAATTGGGAGCGGCGCCAGTGGCACCCCGAGGGGTGCGCGCGCAGGTCGCCCTTTCGACTCGCGCGGGCGGCGCTGCGCGTAGGAGCAAGCATACTCGGTTTTGCGTTGAAGGAGGGCGCGGCAACCCAACGGCGGTTGCTGCTGCATCCGCTCCCGCCCGCCGGCCCTGGCCCCCGACGGGGCTGCCTCTGTCCCGTGTGCGCCCGCCCACCACTTTGCTTGGCATCGCTCGGACGTGTGCATTTTTCCGTCGGCGAGGACCATCGAGGAGCATCCTTGATCATTTGGCGAAAAAACCGCGCACGAAACCGAAAAAAACACAGGAAATGGACGTCCGAGGCCAGCTTGGGCCGAGGGGGCTGCGCGTCGTCTCTTGGGGCAGATCGAGGTGTCCGCGGTGGCCGCGTGGAGCGGCCGGTCAGTGTGTGCACAGGGCGGTTGCGGTGCTGGGTCACGGGCTCCCTCCCCCGGAGCTGGCCACCGCTCGGCCGGGCACCGTGACAGGTTCGAGCCACTGCTGGTGCGGACCTGCCCCGAGCGATGTCTCGCGCGGTGCGCGCCCGTCGCCGCCTCGTCGCCGCGTGGCGCGTTGGCTGGTGCTTCCAGGTTTTCGCGGTGGGCGCCCGTCGCCGCTTCGTCGCCGCCCCATGCTGTCACGGGCATGTCCCGGTTTTCCCGCAGCCAGCGTTCGTTGCCGCTTCGCCGCCGCTTTGTTGCGCCGTTTACCTGGCGGCACGTATTTTGCACCACATAGCCTGCACCACATATATATGTATTTGTTTTACTGCATCGCGCGCACCACATATATTGCGCCGCGTAGATTCTCCTTTCTAAAAGTGGAATAGACTCTACCCCCCCCTTGGCGTTATCCCCGCCCCTTCCGGGTTTCGGGATATTCTGACCACTTGTCCATCCTAACGATCTTTTTGTTCTCACATGGCACTTTTTCACGTCCCTTGCAAAACATGGGACGAAGTGCACACGCGCGCGTCGTCGCGCGCGCATGCCGAAATCCTTCAAACACCTTCGGTGCCGGAAGGATTTCGCAATCGAGTTCCCAAATCGCATTCAAAAACACGGGGATTCGCAACACTGATGTGCTAAACAAGCTTACGCGCGAGCTCTTGCGAATTCTCAAGACAACCATAGGTTTCTCAATATGCTCACAACATGCTACCAAACGGGCTTCGCGCGCGCATGTCGAAATCTGTCGAACGCCCTTGCGCGTGTGCCGTCGCGAGAATCCTCTGCACGAAATGGGGCGAAGTGCAGGCGCGCGCGTCGTGGCGCGCGTATGCCGAAATCCTTCAACACCCATCGGTTTCGGAAGGATTTCAAAATCGTGTGTTCAAAGCACCTACAAAAACACAAGATTTCGCAACACGGATTTTCAACAAACGCGTCCGCGGTGCGCGCTCTTGCGTCGTCGTCGTCGTCGTCGTCGCCGTCCTCCCTCCTCCCGCGTCGTCGTCGTCGTCGCCTCGTCGTCCTCTGTCTTTCCTCGTGTTCGTCGTCGTCGTCCTCTTTGGCGTCGTGGTCGTTTCCGTCGTCGTTGTCGCCGTGTTCGTCCTTCCTCCTCCTCCCTCGTCGTCGTCGTCCGTCGTCGGCGTCTCGTCGTCGTCTCTCCTATTTCGTCGTCGTCGTCGTCGTCGTCGTTGTCTTCCCTCCTCCCTCGTCGTTGTCGTCGGCGTCGCCGTCCTCCCTCCTTCGTCGTTCGCGTCGTCGCCGTCCTCCCTCCTCCCTCGTCGTTGTCGTCGTTGTTGCCGTCGTCGTGCACCCTCCTCGCTCGTCGTCGTCTTCGTTGGCGACGTCGGCGTCGTCGTCGTCGGCGTCGGCGTCGGCGTCGGCGTCGTCGTCATCGTCGACGTCGGTGTCCTCGTCGTCGCCGCTGTCGTCGTCGTCGTCGTCGGAGACGTCGTCGACGTCGTCGGCGTCGTCGTCGGCGTCGTCATCGTCGTCGTCGGTGTCGTCGTAGTCGTCGTCGGCGTTGTCGTCGTCGTCGTCGTCGTCGTCGTCGTCGTCGGCGCCGGATTTTGTTGCGAAGTGCCATGTGGAACCTACCGTCACGGTCTTAGAGGTTTTGCAGACCAAGTTGCGGGTGGGTTGGTGGGATGTTTGCAAGAGCATGGGATGTGTCACATCATGGGTAAACATCAGTTGCACCGCATAGCTCTTACCACGACAATTTCTCCCCACCGCCTGTTCCACATAGCTTGCTTGCACAACGCAAAGGGCGCCACGCAATTTATACCACATAATTTGTGCCACACACCTTGCACCAGAGACATTTTCACAACATTGCTTGTTCCCCACAGTTTGTAATGCATTGCCTCTTTACGCTCAGAGCCCCCCAAAAGATTGTTCGCGCCACACGCTGACGATTTCTTGCGCCCCGCCCGCCCCCGCCGGGGTTACCGGCCCACATCTCCGAATCGTGTTCAGCCCACCCGACATTGGTGCCGTTCGCGTTCGTTTGAGGTTTATGCATCTTTGGCGCAGACCATTGATGCACCGAGGTGCCGTTCCAGGTGCCGTTCTGGTGTGCCCGCCCGAGGGTAGCGTGTCCCGGGTTCAGACAAAGTGGTCCATCATGGGATTGTTCCAGGTGCACTTCGCGCGTGCCCGCTCAGACTCTTGAGCGCCAGGTCCAAGAATTCTGCGCCCCAGGCGTGTCCCAGACACGGCCCCAGGCACTGCCCTCTGGGCCCTGATCCATCCTCAGGGACATCTTCCCACACGGCCACACCCCCAGGGACCGTCAAATAACGACTTCGGATGTGGCCCTGTGGAAAAAAGGGTCGGGATTTCCATGTCTAATTTTTTATATAATGCAACAGCATCGCACGTCTAGGCTACAGTCGGGGCCTTGAAGCAGGAGTGGTCCGAAAAGGTACCCAAACGGTACCTAAACGAGCCCCCTGGGGCTCTGGAGGGGCCCGAAAGGGGCACGAAAGGGGACCTTTCCTGACCCCCCCCTTTGTGACCCCCCTTTTAAGCCACGCCCAACCCCAGCCCCCTGCGCGGCCCTCGGGCATGGGCCGGCGACCCTCGCTCTGGAGGACTTCGTGGACTCCTCGAAGTGCACCCTCGAGCCACCGGTGACCGGCCGGCGCGTCAGGTGCGGGCCTGCTGGCCAAGAGGGGGGTCGAGAGCCAGTGGGGGGGTCTCATGGCGGGGGCCATGAGATCTCCCGAGATTTCATGGCGCCTCTTCTTAATTCACTGCGTCCCCGGCCCTCCCCTTGGGCCGCGCACATGCCTCCGGCCATGACTTGCGCCCCCCCCCCCTCTTGGACGCCCCCCTCTTGGCCGCCCCCCTCTTGGCCGCCCCCGATTGTCTGGGAGGGGTCCCGAGGGCCCGCCTCAGAGACGAGCAGTCTGCATAAGCATGCGCTTCCGGAGATCCGCGTGGGCTTCTGGGATCGGCGCGGAGTGCGCCAGGGGCGGTTCTGGAAGCTCCGCCAAGAGGTGCAGGCGCGAGTCAAAGAAATCAGCGCGGAACTCCGCAAGTTTTTGTCCACGAGGGGCGCTCCAGAAGGGGCCTTGCCTCTGAGGACATCATCTCCTCCTCGGCGGAGAGGCGGCGGAAGGGCGACGGACGGTCGGCAGAAGTAGAACGAGGCCGCCCTCCGCCGGCGGAGGCCGGCGGGAGCTCGGCGGAAGGAGGTGGAAGTAAGAGTTGACCCCTGAAGAGATGATAAAACGACACGAAGATCGGGGCAAAACTGGATCGGGATAACTCGAAATCTCTGAGAATCGGCGGGTTTGGAGGATGTATTGGGCGCCGCGGCCGCTCCAGAGCGTTACGGAACGCTCTGAGAGCGCTCCGGAACGCTCTGGAGCGATTTATCCCGATCCTAGACCTGTTTTAGATGACAGCATTTTGGGTTCAGGGCTTCCGGAATCGGCCATGGAGGTTCAAGTCGGGCCTGTCCTTCCACAAGAGGAGTATTCAAAGATAGTTAAAAGTAGTCTGGGGACAATTTTTTCCCGGAAAGGGCTGGGGCCCAGGGTTCTCTTTTAGTTGGTAAACCTGTCCCCCGTTGCCAACTTGAAGGAGGCCGGCGGATTTTTTCCCTGATAGATATCGAGGTCGAAGGAGGCCGGCGGATTAAAATTTGAGGATGTCTCGAGCGAAACGCTTGTTTTTGAAATCCCGATCGATAAATCACAGGGTGCGGGCCACTTTTTCGTGTGTTGAGGATGTCTCGAGCGAAACGCTTGCTCCGCAGAGTTTGCCGAGGATGTCTCGAGCGAAACGCTTGTTTTGCAGAGCCGACCGCGACGCGGAAAAGCGCCCCGCGCGAAGGAATTTCGATGATGTCTCGACTAATTCGTTTGTTTTTGTACGATTTCCTGGAATTTTGGCAGGATGTCTCGAGCGAAATGCACGACCCCACCCTAGCACGACCATACCCCAGCACGACCCCAGCACACCCCAGCACGACCATACCCCAGCACGACCACACCCCAGCACGACCCGACCCCAGCACGACCCTACCCCAGCAAGACCACCCCAGCACGACCACACCCCAGCACGACCACACCCAGCACGACCACACCCCAGCACGACCACGCCCCAGCACGACCACGCCCCAGCACGACCACGCCCCAGCACGACCACACCCCAGCACGACCACACCCCAGCACGACCACACCCCAGCACGACCACACCCCAGCACGACCACACCCCAGCACGACCACACCCCAGCACGACCCGATCGATAAATCACAGGGTGCGGACCACCCCAGCACGACCACACCCCAGCACGACCCCACCCCAGCACGACCCCACCCCAGCACGACCACGCCCCAGCACGACCACACCCCAGCACGACCACACCCCAGCACGACCACACCCCAGCACGACCCCACCCCAGCACGACCCCACCCAGCACGACCACACCCCAGCACGACCACACCCCAGAACGACCACACCCCAGCACGACCCCACCCAAGCACGACCCCACCCCAGCACGACCACACCCCAGCACGACCCACCCCAGCACGACCCACCCCAGCAAGACCACACCCCAGCACGACCACACCCCAGCACGACCTCACCACAGCACGACCACACCCCAGCACGACCACGCCCCAGCACGACCACGCCCCAGCACGACCACGCCCCAGCACGCCCCCAGCACGACCACCCCCCAGCACGACCACCCCCCAGCACGACCACCCCCCAGCACGACCACACCCCAGCACGACCACTCCCCAGCACGACCACACCGCCTTGGTTGAGTGGTTGCCTGTCGTCGTGGAATGTTTCGTGGGGTGTCTCGTGGAATGTTTCGCGGGGTGTCTCGTGGAATGTTTCGTGAGGTGTCTCGTGGGATGTTTCGTGAAGTGTCTCGTGGGATGTTTCGTGAGGTGTTGCCCAGTTGGGTATCGTGAAAACGTGTCCATGCTCCACATGTCTATATCCCTTTCCGGGTTCGTGGGTCCATCATGTTTTGAGCATTGTTGGCCTGTTTTGGAGTATGGTTCCCCATATCCCAAGGATGGAGTTGTTGCTATTACCTAGACCGCGCGGAACGCGAGAGTGAGAACACACATTTCACCCTCAACACCTCCCACTCTCAGGTCATCATTTTCTGACTCACTCACATGTAGACTCACTCATATTCTTGATACTGAGGTTTCTCATGCTCGGGATCACTCATATGCTGACTCACTCACACTCCTGGTATTTCCGCGCTCAGACTCACACACACGCGATGTGAGGATGTCTCAGGCGAGGCGCTGGTTTCAGTACTCCCAAAGGGGGCCGCCAGGGGGTATTGCACTCCTCCGTTTGCGCCAAACTGGCGGGGATGTTTCGAGCGGTTTGCCTGTTTTGGTGTCCGACATCCTCCGCTTTCGGAGCAGATTTGGAGGATATCTCGAGCGAGGCGCCCATTTTCGCGTCCAAGTGGGAGCCGCCAGGGGGTATTGCATTCCTCCGTTCGCGCCAAAATGGCGGGGATGTCTCGAGCGGTTTGCCTGTTTTGGTGCTCGACGTCCTCCGTTTTCGGAGCAGATTTGGAGGATGTCTCGAGCGAGGCGCTCATTTTCGCCTTCAAGGGGGAGCTGCCAACAAATAGTTCTCCGTTCGCGCCAAGATGGCGGGGATGCCTCAAGCGGTTTGCCTGTTTTGGTGCCCGACACCCTCCACTTTCGGGGCAGAGTTGGAGGATGTCTCGAGCGAGGCGTTCATTTTCGCCTCCACGGGGGGGCTCCCAGGAGGTATTGCACTCCTCCGTGCCCGACATCCTCAGCTTTCGGAGCAGATTTGGAGATTATCTCGAGCGAGGTGCCCATTTTCGCGTCCAAGTGGGAGCCGCCAGGGGGTATTGCATTCCTCCGTTCGCGCCAAAATGGCGGGGATGTCTCGAGCGGTTTGCCTGTGTTGGTGCTCGACATCCTCCGTTTTCGGAGCAGATTTGGAGGATGTCTCGAGCGAGGCGCTGGTTTCAATATTCCCAAGGGGGGGCGCCAGGGTGGATATCACAGGCCTGTTCGCGCCCAGATTGAGGGGATGTCTCAGGCGGTTTGCCTGTTTGGGTGCCCAACATACTTCTCTTTCGGAGCAGTTCCCGAGGATGTCTCAGGAGAGGCGCTGGTTTCAGTGCTCCCAAGGGGGGGCGGCAGCTGACATATCACAGGCCCGTTCGCGACCAGATCGGGGGGATATCTTGAGCGGTTTGCTTGTTGGGTGCCTAACATCCTTCTCTTTCGGAGCAGTTTCCGAGGATGTCTCAGGCGAGGCGCTGGTTTCAGTACTACCAGCGGGGGGCGCCAGGGTGTATATCACAGGCCCGTTCGCGCCCAGATTGGGGGGATGTCTAAGGCGGTTTGCCTGTTTGGGTGCCCAACATACTTCTCTTTCGGAGGAGTTCCCGAGGATGTCTCAGGAGAGGCGCTGGTTTCAGTGCCCCCAAGGGGGGGCGGCAGGGGGCATATCACAGGCCCATTCGCGCCCAGATCGGGGGGATGTCTTGAGCGGTTTGCTTGTTGGGTGCCTAACATCCTTCTCTTTCGGAGCAGTTTCCGAGGATGTCTCAGGCGAGGCGTTTGTTTCAGCACTCCCAATGGGGGGCGCCAGGGGGTATTGCACGGGCCCGTTCTCGTCTTTACGGATGGATTTTCTTGAATGGTGTTCATAGGGAAAGGAGGAGAACGAGGAGGATGACAAGGAGGAGGAGGAGGAGGTCGAAAGGAGGAAGCAACTATTCAAAAGCGTCGCAGTCGTCGGCGTCTTTCTCGGCTTCGTTTTCTACACTCGGAGATTGAAAAGGACAATGTCTTCTACCGAAGTTTGCCATCATTATGAGATGCACATCTGGGGCTCCACACGTCGAGTAATGAGAGTATGTGTTAGTTTTCGCACAGAATCCGCATGTATGGGAGGCACGCCCGACCTAAATGTAGTTCTTCCCAGTAGGGAGGAGGAGGAGGAGGAGGAGGAGGAGGAGGAGGAGGAGGAGGAGGAGGAGGAGGAGGAGGAGGAGGAGGAGGAGGGAGGGAGGGAGGGAGGGAGGGAGGGAGGGAGGGAGGGAGGGAGGGGAGGGAGGGAGGGAGGGAGGGAGGGAGGGAGGGAGGGAGGGAGGAGGAGGGAGGAGGAGGGAGGAGGAGGAGGAGGAGGAGGAGGAGGAGGAGGAGGAGGAGGAGGCGAAGAAGACCTAGGAGCAGGGGGAGCAGGGGGATTAAGATACGATGAGGAGGAGTGAGGGGAAGGAGAGAAGGGGGGGGGAAGAAGCACGTCGAAGAGGAACAGGCTGGGGAGGAGCATGGCCGGAGGGCCCCCCATTGCGACGGGGGCCGCCCCGCCCGCCCCAGGTGATGGAGCCGCCCGCGGGCGTGTTCGCCAAGCCGGTGCTCCTGGAGCTCCGCTGGCAGAGGGCCGCCTCGGGAGGGGTAAAGCTAGGTCTGGCGTGTCCCCCTGCAGAGGGATGTGGGAGGAGAAATACAGAATACGCAACTAACATCAAGAATCGCCAAAACATGCCCCCCAAATCGTCCCCCGAGCATATGTTGGCTCTTTTTTAAATATTCCTCCAGTAGAGGAACAGGCCCGACTAGAGGGTAAGGTCGGAAGGGGCCAGGACGAGGATGCAGTCAACCTCTTGGCATCGCTCGGACGCGTGCATGTTTTCTCGGCGAGGGCCATCGAGGAGCATCCGAGATTATTTGGCGACAAAGTGCACGCACAGCATCGACACATGCAGCAAGGATGAAGAAGTTTGCAAGGTTACCCGTTGCGTCCTTCCCCTTCGTGCGTCCTTCTCATGCGGGCTGCCTGTCAGCCCGTTCCATTGCGCTCTGGCACGCGCTCAGAGAGTCTCCGGCACGCTCTGAATAGGCCGCGACGCCCGACACATCCTCCGAAGCCGCCGGATCCCAGAGATTCTCAATATTCATCTTCGCCCGGAGTTGCCCTCGTCCTGGCTTCGTCTCCACAAAGAGGATCGATGACACGCCGCCGTTGAGAGCTGGTCAGCGTACACCGCTCCTGGGCCCAGGACGGCATGGGGGCCTCCTCCTCCTCCTTTTCCTCCTCCTCCTCCTCCTCCTCCTCCTCTTCCTCCTCCTCACCCTCCGCCTCCTTCTCCTGCTCCTCCTCCTCCTCCCTCCTCCCTCCTCCCTCCTCCCTCCCTCCTCCCTCCTCCTCCCTCCTCCTCCTCACTCCTCCCTCCTCCTCCTTTCTCCTCCTCCTCCTCCTCCTCCTCCTCCTCCCTCCTCCTCCTTCGTTTCCTCCAAACGGGGCCGGCCCTGGCGAGGATGCGGCCACCGCGGTGGCGAAACACCGACCGGGCGGCAGCGCGGGCAAACTTTCAGCACCATGATGTTCCAGCCTACGTTAGCCTGGACCTCCAGAAAGAATTTCGAGCACCAAAGGAGTACCGAAAGTCAAAGGTTTTCACGTGTCGGGCCCTGGGAGGCACTCGTCCGACACTGTTTCGACACTGTTTCGACACTTCTCTGGGTGCTCGAAATTATTTCTGGCATGTGGTCCTCAGGTACGATGGGAGCAACGTAACTTCAGCAGGGGAACAAAACACACACACACACAGGCACAAGTAATCGTCGATTCCCTGGGAAGATATGGGAAAGTAGGGGCAATGGGGGGAAGACGAAACGAGTGGAGGAGACAGCGCCGATGCAGCGTAGGCTTGCGTCGACGAGCGTCGGTGTATCGTCGATTAGCGGCGGCTAGCGTCGATCAGCGTCGATTCGCAAGAGCCGACAAGATTGTATAGGAGGCTCCCATGAGTTGCCACCGAAGTCTTTCGTCCGGAAGACCTGGCGCCTCTTCGGCAGCAGCACGCCGTGACGGGTCGCCCATGGCGGCTCGCCGCGGCTGCCGCCCCTGCCTCCCCCGAGAACCCAGGGCAACGCAAGGCCCGAGCGCGCCAGAACCGGTGCCACGTACGTCGGGCGTGCCCTTCTACGGGAGGAATATATTCGAGCATAGCATCGTATACACACCTCACGGGGATCCAGGTCCGGGGGGCCCAGGGTCGGGACCGCGACCAGAACTGGGGGGCCTGGCGCGCCGGCCCGGGCGCGCCTCGATGGGAGGCCCAATATCGCCCCGGGGAGCCCTCGGAGAGCAATCCCGGCGGCCCCAGACGGTCTCGAGACTCCCCCAAGACGCCGTCCAGGGGTCTTTGGCGACGCACGATGCGTTTGAAACTGCCCCGGAGGCCCCCAAGACGCCCCGAGAGGCTTTTGAGATGCCGCCCAAGAGCGCCCCGAGAGGGCAAAATCGTTGATCGTAATTGTTTGTATTCCAATGTTTTTTGCATTCTCGCTGTTTCGTGCTTCCGGCGCTGAAGCACCGCCCAAGAAGAGGCTCCCCAAACCGTTCCAAGAAGGCCCAAGAGGCCCCCAAGGGGGCCCCAAGACGGCCCAAGAGAGCCCCAAGATGGCCCCAGAGACGCCTAAGACGGCGCAAGAGGGTCCCAAGAAGGCCCCAAGAGGGGCCCAAGAGAGGGAGGGCGAACTGCAAAATCAACGTCTCCGCCCCAAGATGCCCTCAAGAGGCCCCACGAGGCCCCCAGGAAGAACCCAAGAGGCCCCCAAGAGGCCCCACGAGGCCCCCAAGAGGTCGCACGATGCGTTTAAAATTGCCCTGGAGGCCCCCACGAAAGATGCCCCAAGAGGCCTTTAGGATGACGCCCAAGAGCGCCCGGAGAGGGCAAAATCGTTGATGTGCATGCTTTTTTCCATGTATTTTGCGTTCTCGCTGTTTCTTTTTCTGGCGGCTCCCAAAATCGCTCCAAGACGGCCCCAAGAGGCCCCCAGGAGGGCCCCAAGACGGCCCAAGAGAGCCCCGAGCCGGCCCCAGAGCCACCCAAGACGGCGCAAGAGGGTCCCAAGAAGGCCCCAAGAGGGGCCCAAGAAACGCTAACTGAAAAATCAAGGTCTCCGCCCCAAGATGCCCCCAAGAGGCCCCAATAGGCCTCCAGGAAGCCCCCAAGAGGCCCCACGAGGCCCGCAAGAGGTCGCACGATGCGTTTAAAACTGCCCTGGAGGCCACCACGACGCCCCAACAGGCCTTTAAGATGCCGCCCAAGAGCACCCGGAGAGGGCAAAATCGTTGATTTGATTTTGTTTCCAATGTTTTTTGCATTCTCGCTGTTTCGTGCTTCCGGCGCTGAAGCACCGCCCAAGAAGAGGCTCCCCAAACCGTTCCAAGAAGGCCCAAGAGGCCCCCAAGGGGGCCCCAAGACGGCCCAAGAGAGCCCCAAGATGGCCCCAGAGACGCCTAAGACGGCGCAAGAGGGTCCCAAGAAGGCCCCAAGAGGGGCCCAAGAGAGGGAGGGCGAACTGCAAAATCAAGGTCTCCGCCCCAAGATGCCCTCAAGAGGCCCCACGAGGCCCCCAGGAAGAACCCAAGAGGCCCCCAAGAGGCCCCACGAGGCCCCCAAAAGGGCCCCAAGACGGCCCAAGAGAGCCCCGAGACGGCCCCAGAGCCGCCCAAGACGGCGCAAGAGGGTCCCAAGAAGGCCCCAAGAGTGGCCCAAGAGAGGGAACGCGAATTCGAAAATCAAGCTCTCCGCCCCAAGATGCCCCCAAGAGGCCCCAATAGGCCCCCGGGAAGCCCCCAAGAGGCCCCACGAGGCCCGCAAGAGGTCGCACGATGCGTTTAAAACTGCCCTGGAGGCCACCACGACGCCCCAACAGGCCTTTAAGATGTCGCCCAAGAGCACCCGGAGAGGGCACAATCGTTGCTTTGATTTTGTTTCCAATGTTTTTTGCATTCTCGCTGTTTCGTGCTTCCGGCGCTGAAGCACCGCCCAAGAGGCTCCCAAAGCCGCTCCCTGACGGCCCAAGAGGCCCTTAAGAGGGCCCCAAGACGGCCCAAGAGAGCCCCAAGATGGCCCCAGAGACGCCTAAGACGGCGCAAGAGGGTCCCAAGAAGGCCCCAAGAGGGGCCCAAGAGAGGGAGGGCGAACTGCAAAATCAAGGTCTCCGCCCCAAGATGCCTTCAAGAGGCCCCACGAGGCCCCCAGGAAGAACCCAAGAGGCCCCCAAGAGGCCCCACGAGGCCCCCAAAAGGGCCCCAAGACGGCCCAAGAGAGCCCCGAGACGGCCCCAGAGCCGCCCAAGACGGCGCAAGAGGGTCCCAAGAAGGCCCCAAGAGTGGCCCAAGAGAGGGAACGCGAATTCGAAAATCAAGCTCTCCGCCCCGCCCCAAGATGCCCTCAAGAGGCCCCAATAGCCCCCCGGGAAGCCCCAAAAGGCCCCCAAGAAGCTCAAAAGAGGCCCTAAGACGGCACCCAGAAGGCCTCGAAACTCTTTCTTAGAGGCCCCCAAGACATGCCAAGAAGGCCGCATGACGACTTCAAGAAGCAGTCCAGGATGCTCCGAGGAGGCTCCGAGAGGCCCCCAAGAGAGCCCAAGAGGCCCCCAAGAGGCTCCCGAGCGGCCTCAAGCAGCATCCAGAAGGTCGGACAAAAAAACCCAAGAGCTCAGCGGTCCAGGCGGGGGCCGAACGAGCATTTCCAACCCTGGGCTCCCGGAAGCCCAACAGGAAGCCCTAAGAGTTCGACCATCCAGCCTAGCCAGAACTTGAGCGCGCCCGAAGCGCGCGCGATGGTTCTAGTAGACATATAGTCTGGTGACGATGTTTCGTGTTTCGGGGGTTTGCCTACGTTGTGTCAGGGCTCAAGAGACGCGGCTCGGTGCAAACGGGGGTCCGCTAGAGCGCTGGAGCTTGCAGGATCCTGCAGGGCCAGGGGCGCACTGGCCCAGGCGTGGGTGCGGGCTCCTGCAGGGTCCTGCAGGATCTTGCAGGGTCCCCTGCGAGGCCGGACTGACCCCGGGTCAGCAGATCCTCGAAGGCTTTCATCGAGCGCGTCCTGGATTTTCGCGGTCCTGTTTCCGTGGGATGCTTGCAGCGAGAGTTGGCGCCAAATTTCAGATACGGTCTCGTCATTTTCATGATTGCCCCGTCAGGCCAACCCGAGTCCCCCGAACCCGAGTCTGACACTTTACGTCTCTCCGAGAGAAGGCCGTGGAGGAGGACGGGGAGTCGGAGCCGAGCCGCCAGACCTCTGGGGAGGAGGTCGTCCCGCCGCGCCCGTCGCCGAAGAAGTCGCAGGCCTGGCCGCCGGACCGCGGGGGGGGGGGGGGGGGGGGGGCAGAGCTCCGCGCTTCCGGCCCCCAGGATGTTTCAGGATGTCCTCCAGGATTTCTCCTCTGTCGGGCGTTGCCAGACGTGCCCGTGGCCCCGGGGCCCCGGGCGCCCCCGAGGTTCTCACGGAGGCCCCAGAGGCCCTCCAGAGCACCCCTCGCGAGGCCCAGAGGGCCCCAGGGGCTCCAGGATGGAGCGAAAAGCTGGGGGGGCACCGTTCAGCCACGCGCAGAGGGGGGTGGCAGAACGGGAAAAGGCCTCTGAGAAGCCCCCCTCTTTAGAAGGCGCGTGCGCCCCGTCTAAGAAGTTTGTGGCTGCCTCTTAGAACTGTCCCTGGCGTGTTTATCAGAAGTATGTGGCTTGCTTATCTGAAGTTGTTGTTGTTTCTAAGAATCAGTTTCGTGCTTCTAAGAAGCTGCTGGGTTGCTTCTACGAAGCGGCGCGCCCCTGGCTTCTTAAAAGGGCGGCCTTCCCCCCTCCCTCTATCCCCTTGTGCGCGCCGTCAAGCCTTGGGCCAGGGGTACCTTTAGCAACCCCCTCGTCTTGCTCCCTCCCCTCCTCCTTGTCCTGCCTGCCCGCGCTCCCAGCCTCATCTCTCTGCTCTCTTGCTCTTTCCTGCCCTCCTTTCCCCCCCTTCTCCCTCCTGTCCTCCTCCTGTCCTCCTCCTCCTCCTCCTCCTCCTCCTCCTCCTCCTCCCTCCTGTCCTCCTCCTCCCCTAGAGGCTCTCACTAAGTTGGGCCAGTGTGTCCTCCAGCGTCTCTCCGAAGGGCGGCCGCTCAGTAGGAGTCCCCATGAGGTAGCAGAGGTAGCTTTTCCGACGCAATCGGCTTGGGGTACTCTTTGGGTAATCATCCGTCTCCTCCTCCTCCTCCTTCTCCTATTCCTCCTCCTCCTCATCCTTCACTCCTTCTCCTCATAGAAAACATCAACCTGTCTTACCCGAGGCGGGTGTTTAGAGCGGGCGAGGTCGTTCGCCTGAGGCTTCCTCACCCTTTACGAGTCTGAAGTTCAAAAACTGGCAAGAGTAAGAGCTCCCATGATCAACGTCCCAGATATGGTGTTTTGGAAGGGTTCAGGCTTATGAGGGTGTACGAGTTATGTTGTTTCGCGGTGTTCAAGTCCCAGGGATGTTGTTCTGGCACGGTTCAGGATCGTCAAGACGCAACAGTTAGGTTGATCCGTGGCGTTGGAATCCCGAGAACAACGGTTTGGCATATTTCAGGGTCTTCAAACAGACCTTCCAACGAGGCAGTTCCCTCTGATCATGAACTGTTGTAGTGGCCTGTGAAGAGGGAGCTTGGAGGGAGGGTTTATTCTAACATCGTTGATGCCTCTTGGGTTTCCACGGGTCCTCATCCTTGTCGTCTTTCTCCTCTTCCTCCTCCTCCTCCCCCCCTCCTCCTTCCCGTTCTTAAGGGTCAACCTCTGGACCTGCCCCAGGGCCGCGCGCCAGTCAGAAACCCCACAGGAGTCATCCAAAGTGCACCCCAGGCTCCCGTAGGACCCTCCTTCTGGACGCATGCCGCCGCTCGCCTCGTGTTCTCCCCCCTGTGCTGCGCCCTGCCGGATCCCCCGCCCCCCCCAGATCACAAGCACGGCAGACATGGGAACCGTCGGAGTTCAGCACTGCTTTCCTGGGTCGGCGTCTGGGACCCCCCCCCCTCCCCTCCCTGGCGCCGCCGCCGCGCGCCAGGGAGGGGAGGGGGGGGCCAAGCGCCGATCGTCGAGAGCCGTCGAGAGCATGCTTAAACCGCTCCTCTTCCGAGCCGCCTTCCGTTCCGCCCGTTGCCCTCCTCCCCCGTTCGCCCCGTTGGAGTTTCATGCTCGAGGGTGGGGCGGGGGGGCGGGAGGGCGGCAGCGGCGGCGGGGGGCGGCATCGGCGACGGGGGCCGCCCAGGAGGAGAAGGTCGAGCTCTTCTACACGCTGGACGGCCGCGACCCCTTTGTGGCGGGCAAGCGGCGCCTCGGTAAAAGTCGTCTTCGTCGTCAGTGCCAGTGTCAGTGTCAGTGCCAATGCCAGTGTCAGTGTCAGGAGGAGGAGGAGGAGGAGGAGGAGCAGGAGGAGGAGGAGGAGGAGGAGGAGTTTGAGGAGATAGGAAGAGGAAGAGGACGATGCGGAGGAGGAGGAGGAGGAGGGGGAGGAGGAGGAGGAGGAGGAGGAGGAGGAGGAGGATGGAGTAGGGAGAAGGGGAGACGAGGGAGACGAGGATGACGAGGGACGAGAAGGATGACGAGGGAGGCGAGGACGACAAGGATGACAAGGGAGACGAAGAGGAGTGGGAACGCGGGGAGGAAGGTGGGAGGATGGGGGGGGAGCCTCAATAGGGGGATGATGATGATGATGATGACGGGGACGAGGAGGATGCGGAAGGAAGCCATAGGAGCCGAATGAAGCATGAGGCAGGATGGAGGAGGAGGAGAAGGAAGAGGAGGAGGAAGAGAAGCAGGTAGAGGAGGAGGAAGAGGAGGACGAGGGGGAGGAGGAGAGGAGGAGGAGGAGGAGGAGGAGGAGGAGGAGGAGAAGGCTGAGGAGGCTGAGGAGGACGAGGAGGTGAAAAGGCAGGAGCCGGAGGCAGAGGATGAGGATGAGGATGTTGACGCTGCTGATGATGATGCTGCTGGTTATGATGGTGGTGGTGATGGTGTTGATGCTGATATCGTGATGATGATAACGATGCAGTTGATAACGGTGTTGATGAAGTTGATGATGATGTTGGTGGTGATATGCTGCTGAGAGATGATGATGGTGATGATGATGATAATGATGATGATGATGATGATGATGATGATGATGATGATGATGATGATGATGATGATTATGATGCTGATCCAGGACTCGGGAGAAGGGAAACACACACACACACACTTTCCGGCGACTCCCAGGAACACAGACACACACACACACACACACATATATATATATATATATATATGTAGAAAGGGAATCTCCGAAGTGGCGGGGCAGACGCAACTCTGTGGCGTATGGGGAGTCCTGGGCCTTCTATGTATTTGTTTGTGTGTCCCGGGGCCCCTTCAATGAAGGCCGAGCGGGGCCCGCTGGCCCTCGGCTCGAGCGGAAGCCCGCGGCTGGCGCCGCTTCCGCCTCCCTCGCCTCGTTCGAAGGGCGTGAGGACGCGGTCTTTTAGTCTAGGCATCCTACATGGGGTCGGAGTGGATGGGGTTGGAGGATCGCGCCGCATCGCCGATGCATCGCCGATGCATCGCCGATGCATCGCCGATGCATCGCCGATGCATCGCCGATGCGGCTCGATGTGCAGCCCGATTTGCTTCACGTCGACGTCGCCGATGCATCGCCGACGTCGACGATGCATCGCCGATGCATCGCCGATGATCGGCGATGCGGCGCGATCCTGCGACCCCCTTCTCGGACCCCATCAAGGAGGTCTATAGACTCTACAGTGAAGACGCTCAAATTTGGACCGCTTGGATTTCGGACAGGGCTCGCTGTTCTTGGGTCTTTCCATCGTTGTTCCTCGAGCCCCCTCTCGCACATCCAGGCGCTTGTGGCGCCAGGAAAAAAGTTTCGTTCCTGATGTTGCGCTCCTTGTGTCGGCAGCCCTCTTGTGCGTTTGGTCCAGCTTGAGCGGGAGAGTCTCTGGCAGCACATCTTTGCCTCAGCCGGCGAACGTCCTGCCTGCGCAGATGCTGATGGGCCTGCTTTCCACCACCTACCACCACCATGAGTTGGAGGGGGGAAAGGAGGTGGAGGATGAGGAGGACGAAGAGCAGGTGGTGGTGGAAAACAGGCCCACCAATGCCGCCTTGGGCAGCGCGGCGTCTCCTCCGCCGGCGCTCGTTCCGCCTGCGCCGCCTGGACTCACCGCGCAAAAGCAGAGGCATCGACACACCGCCGCCCTTCCCCCGTCGCCACGGCTGGATTCGCTTCGACGCTGTGGCCAGAGCGCACTCCTGGGTGCGTCGGGGGAGCGGCGGCATCGGTACCTCGCTGTCCCCCGAAGCTGATTTCTTCGGTTTAAGTCCGGCCTGTCCCTCTACAGGGGGAATATTCAAAGATAGTCAAACAAGAAGTCAGGGGACGCTATGTTTGAGCATGTTCGGCGTATTGTTGGGGTATCTTCAATTTTTTGCCCAAGATCTGCCTGTAGGAGGGAGGACACGCCCGACCTAACGAAACCTCGCTGTCCCCCGAAGCTTACCTCCTCGGTGGAAAGGGCGGCGGGAGCCGGCGGGAGCAGAGTGGGGGCGGCTCTGCTGGCGGAATGTGCTTGCGGAAGTAAGCGAGGAGGGCCACGGGGTGTTGCAGGCTGGTGCTTCGCGAGATCCACCGGGAGGAGTCAGGAGATGATGGACGGTTGGTTCGGCACAGGGTTGCCATTTCTGGGGGGGGGCCAATGTTTTGGTTCGGTAGCAAATCATGGTAGCCGTGTATACCCTCGTAATTCCGATGTTAGCGTCGATTAGCGTCGATTAGCGTCTGGGAGTGGGTGAGATACGCCGAGTTAGCGTCGGTTAGTGTCGATTAGTGCCGACTTAGCGCCGATCAGCGTCGATTTAGCGTCGATTAGCGTCGATTCGCAAGAGCTGACAAGATGGTATGGGAGGCTCCCATGCGTTGCCACCGAAAAACGAGACATGATGGATGGTTCGGCACACGGTTGCCGTTTCAGGGGGTGCGCCAATGTCTTGGTTCATCGAGGTCCCCGTTTGCGGGGCCCTTGGTAAGGTGAGGCGCCCCAGGACATGTGAATGTGGTTGGCTCAGGGTGGCCAGGGCAAGATGTCCCGCCGTCCTCTCTGAAGGAGGATCGGCGGTCCTCAGGACGTGTGTTAGCCCGATGTGTGGGTTTACCCCCTTCAGCCCAACCAGGAAGTAGATCATGGCATCGCCTGCGTTGTATCGAAGGGCCTGGATGGACGAACACACGTTTGGGGCTAACACCCGTTCTGAGGACCATCGAGAGGAGGAGAGGAGGGCGGGGGTGCGCTGCCAGTTCCGCGCGCAAGACCCAGAAGAGCACGGGCTTTGTGTCGAGGCGCCGAGGTGTTCACCATGACGCCCGGGGGACCCATCTTTGGGGATCTCGGCGGGCGCAGTACGAGTGGATACGTAATAAAACTTACCGCCCCCAGGTCTCGAATCCGCAGTCCGCCAAAGCCCCCGAAGATCCACCCCCAGGCTGTGGTCATCTATGTGTATCTACATTTATGCAATACATATATATATATATATATGTATACACATGTATACATATACATACATATCTATCTATATACGTATGTGGATATATATATATATATATATAGAACTATCTACATCTACCCCCGCGACGCACTCTCAGGTACAGGAGGCCGGTGAGGCTCTGCCACCAGCGCACGCGGGTTCGCGCCGTGGCCGTCTTCGGGAAGATGCGGTCGGTCGTGGTGGACGACGTCTACGTGGTTGGCCACTACGTCCTGCCCGACGCGGTGGTTACAGGCGCCTTGGTAGAGGGGGTCTCTCGGGCATCCGCCGCATCCTTTTCTCAAGCAACAGATAACGACATCAGAAAACACATACTCGTATAGACCCGCGCGGGTCTCTTGGATCGGCGTTGGTCCCCTCCCTGGCGCGCGGAGCGCGCCAGGGGTGGCGTCAGAGGCGCCGCCAGGGGGGCCCAGAGCAGATCCAAGAAATCCCCACGGACCTTCGAAGGTTTATGCTTATGCAGTTTGTTTTTCTTCTGTTCACCGCTCCCCCATCGCTGTCACCCCCGCAGTGGCGCGAGGACTTGACCGCGCCTCGCACGGCGTTGGGCGATCGACACATTCGATCTGTAGGGCGCTGTTGTCAGATGGAACAAGACGGCATAAGCATGAACTTGACATAAACTTCTGGAGTTCCGCGCGGATCACCTGGATCGACGCTGGGCCCTCTGGCTGAGCCTCCACCGTCGCCCCTGGCGCGCTCCGTTCGCCGGTCGCCAAGGAGGGGGGCCCAGCGCCGATCCAAGGAGGGGGGCCCAGCCCCGAGTGTTCATGCTCATGTAGTGTTTCCCCTCAACCATCCTGTGCTGGTGGGTCTTCGTTTGGAAGAGACCCCTCCCCGCATCAGATCTCCTCTCCCCTCCTCGCCCTCTCCTCCCATTCTGGCCTGTGCCCTCCATTTTCATCTTTGGGCACACCCCTCACACGTTTCGGAGCCCCACAGGGAGCTCCACCAAAGGCTCCGGGATGGGGCGGGTCTTACCCATTTCGGCACACTCCTCACACGCTTCGTGGCCCCACAGGGTGCTCCACCGAAGCCCCTAAGAAGGGGTTCTCGGGTTCTTGCAGGTGGTTCTAGCATATTCTGGGGGACCCCATCGAACGTTTCGAGGCCCCACAGGTAGCGCCACCGAATCCCCGAAGACTGGCCAATGTTGGCACGCCTCTCACGCCCTTCGTGGCCCCACACGGAGCTCCGGCGGAGGCCCCAGGAGCAGGGTTTCGCATGCGGTTCTCATCCATGTCGGCCAGACCCTCACACGTTGATCGTGGCCCCACAGGAGCTCCACCGAAAAGCCCCCAGGAGTGGGGGTTCGCATGCGGCTGCCTACCGAAAGGGAGGAGGAGGAGGAGGAGGAGGAGGAGAAGGAGAAGGAGGAGGAAGAGGCGGAGGATAAGGGGGAGGAGGAGGAGGACGAAGAGGAGGAGGAGGAAGAAGAGGAGGGGGAGGAGGAGGACGAAGAGGAGGAGGAGGAAGAAGAGGAGGAGAAGGAGGAGGAGGAAGAGGAGGAGGGAGCTCCACCCGATCCTGTTGCATGCGGTCCCCAAACCCATGTCGGCACGCTCGCCACACGTCTCTTCGTGGCTCCATGGGAGCTCCAGCGAAGGCCCCAGGTGGCAGGGCCCGCAGGCGGCCCCCAGGCCCATGTCAACGCTCCTCCTCCTCCTCCTCCTCCTCCTCCTCCTCCTCCTCCGCAATGCGGTGGCCCCACAGAGAGCTCCACGGAAGGCGATGCTCACAGGGGCGGCGCTCTCACACCTGCATTCTGTGTGTGTGTGTGTGTGTGTGATTGGGCCCATCGCCCAAACGAAGCTTGCCCCTCCAGTTGTGGGCCCGCACCGCGGCCGCCTTTTGGGAGGCGGGCGTGGTGGGGGGGGGGGGCGCCGCGGTGCCTCCTGGAGCCGCGGCCGCGGGGGGCAGCGGCTCCCGCACCGCAGCCCGAGGACAGCTGCAGGCGCGGACCTTCCCGGAGGGCCTGGGCGCGATCGCCAAGTCCATCGCCTCTGTGGTCGGCGAGGCGGAGGAGCGCCCACGACGGCACGGAAGAAGCTGCAGGGGGACCTCAAGAGGCGCCCACGAGGCCAAGCTGCCCCCCCCGAGCTTACGGTCGCCAGGCTCCCTCTGGCCCGAGGAGCGCAGAGCCTCCAAGAGGGCCTCAAGAGGCGCCCAAGATGCAAAAACCCACCGCCCCCCCCTCTGAGCTTACGGTCGCCGAAGTCCCTCCGGCCTGAGGAGCGCAGAGCCTCCAAGAGGGCCTCAAGAGACGCCCAAGAGGCAAAGCTGCCCCCCCCCCCCGAGTACGGTCTCCGAAGTCCATCGGGCCTGAGGAGCACAAGGCCTCCAAGAGGCTTCAAGTGGCGCCCAAGAGGCAAAGCTGCCCCACCCCGAGCTCACGGTCGCCAAACTCCATCCATTTCGGTAGCAACTCATGGGAGCCTCGCGTAACCTCGTAATTTTGTCTTTAGCGCCGATTCGCGTCCATTAGCGTCTGGGAGAGTGGATGACGCAGCGCCGGCTTAGCACCGGCACTTGGCGTCGATCCAGCGCCGACCAGCGCCGGTTCGCAAGAGCCGACGAGATGGCACGGGAGGCTCCCCCGAGCTGCCGCCGGACCTCCGGCCCCGAGGAGCGCGTGCACATCCGCCCCGTCGAGGGCGAGGCCGCGCCGCGGCGGTCCAAGGCCGCGGGCGCGGACGAGGTCTGGATACGTGTGCCGCTGGCCCTGCCCAGGCGCCGCAGCCACCGGCTGCGACTGGACCGGCCGTTCTCCATCGCCCGCGGCCCGCAGAAAGCAAAGTTCTTGGACAGGGTGACGAGCGACATCGAGGCTCCGAGGAGGGAGAGCTGCCCCCCCCATCTCTGCCCTTCGCCCATTTCCCCTGCTTGGTGCCCTCTTGGAGGCCATCGTCGCCACCGCTGGATTCGCCTTCGAGTGCCAGTCAGAAGGCATCCCGGGAGAGGTCCAGGGAGTAGCGATATCGGTGCTTTCTGGTTTCCCTAGAGGCGGCCACGGGGGAGAGGCCCACGAACCTGAAGCCGTACGCCGACACCACCGCCGGAGCTGGGGCGCACAAGACGGGCTCCACGGTGGTGGAGCTGGACATCTCCTGGGAGGCGGCACAGTTGCTGACGGAGCAGTTGCAGGACCCACAGAGTCCTCTGGTGACTGGCAGCACGCTCTACGCCGACGCGGAGCTACAAATGGTGGAGCCGCTGGGCAAGCGGCTCGCAGACCCCGACCTCCACGCGAAAGTGCGGTCTGCCATGGGTGTTCCCATCAACGAGGTCGTGGGCGTTGGCACCGACTACTTCAGCGATACAGGTGTGTTCGCTGTCGCAGTGGCCTGCTCCAGCACGAAGCCGGCCAAGACTGCCCAGACGATCGAAAAGGTCAAGACCAAGTTGGTCGCCACAGTCAAGGAGCTGATGAGCGACGCAGAGCAGGGTGAGCTCATGGAGGGCCCCGCATTGCTGCTAGCGGCTTTTACCGTGGACGTGTTGATTGGCCACCGTTTTCTGGTACAGTCCAAACCACTGAAGCGGCTCTCTGCGGTTGCCCCTGCCGCTGTGGACAGAAGACGGCTCAAGACTGTCGACACAGTGGTGCGAGAGCTCAACGAACCAGGCTGCGGCGAGAAGCTGATGGAGGAGCTGACGAAGATCGGGTTTCCCGCAAGCGTGACTCCGGTCGACAAGGCGCGGGCGTTGACAGGACAGTACCGTTTTTCCCGGAAAGGGCTGGGGCCCAGGGTTCTCTTTTAGTTGGTAAACCTAATCCCCCGGTGCCAACTTGAAGGAGGCCGGCGGATTTTTTCCCTGATAAACATGATGGACCCACGAACCCGGAAAGGGATATAGACATGTGGGGCATGGGCACGTTTTCACGATACCCAACGGGGCAACACCTCACGAAACATCCCACGAGACACCTCACGAAACATCCCACGAAACACCTCACGAAACATTCCGCGAGACACCTCACGAAACATTCCACGAGACACCCCGCGAAACATTCCACGAGACACCCCACGAAACATTCCACGACGACAGGCAACCACTCAACCAAGGCGGTGTGGTCGTGCTGGGGAGTGGTCGTGCTGGGGTGTGGTCGTGCTGGGGGGTGGTCGTGCTGGGGGTGGTCGTGCTGGGGGGGTGGTCTTGCTGGGGCGTGGTTGGTCGTGCTGGGGCGTGGTCGTGCTGGGGTGTGGTCGTGCTGTGGTGAGGTCGTGCTGGGGTGTGGTCGTGCTGGGGTGTGGTCTTGCTGGGGTGGGGTCGTGCTGGGGTGGGGTCCGGCTGGGGTGTGGTCGTGCTGGGGTGTGGTCGTGCTGGGGTGTGGTCGTGCTGGGGTGGGGTCGTGCTTGGGTGGGGTCGGGCTGGGGTGTGGTCGTTCTGGGGTGTGGTCGTGCTGGGGTGTGGTCGTGCTGGGGTGGGGTCGTGCTGGGTCGGGGTCGTGCTGGGGTGTGGTCGGGGTGTGGTCGTGTTGGGGTGTGGTCGTGCTGGGGCGTGGTCGTGCTGGGGTGGGGTCGTGCTGGAGTGGGGTCGTGCTGGGGTGTGGTCGTGCTGGGGTGGTCCGCACCCTGTGACTTATCGATCGGGTCGTGCTGGGGTGTGGTCGTGCTGGTGCTGGGTGTGGTCGTGCTGGGGTGTGGTCGTGCTGGGGTGTGGTCGTGCTGGGGTGTGGTCGTGCTGGGGTGTGGTCGTGCAGGCAACCACTCAACCAAGGCGGTGTGCTCGTGCTGGGGAGTGGTCGTGCTGGGGGGTGGGCGTGCTGGGGGGTGGTCGTGCTGCGGTGTGGTCGTGCTGGGGGGGTGGTCGTGCTGGGGGTGGGGTCGTGCTGGGGCGTGGTGGTGCTGGGGCGTGGTCGTGCTGGGGCGTGGTCGTGCTGGGGTGTGGTCGTGCTGTGGTGAGGTCGTGCTGGGGTGTGGTCGTGCTGGGGTGTGGTCTTGCTGCGGTGGGGTCCTGCTGGGATGTGGTCGTGCTGGGGTGTGGTCCTGCTGGGGTGTGGTCGTGCTGGGGTGGGGTCGTGCTTGGGTGGGGTCGGTGCTGGGGTGTGGTCGTTCTGGGGTGTGGTCGTGCTGGGGTGTGGTCGTGCTGGGTGGGGTCGTGCTGGGGTGGGGTCGTGCTGGGGTGTGGTCGTGCTGGGGTGTGGTCGTGCTGGGGTGTGGTCGTGCTGGGGCGTGGTCGTGCTGGGGTGGGGTCGTGCTGGAGTGGGGTCGTGCTGGGGTGTGGTCGTGCTGGGGTGGTCCGCACCCTGTGACTTATCGATCGGGTCGTGCTGGGGTGTGGGTCGTGCTGGTGCTGGGGTGTGGTCGTGCTGGGGTGTGGTCGTGCTGGGGTGTGGTCGTGCTGAGGTGTGTTCGTGCTGGGGTGTGGTCGTGCTGGGGCGTGGTCGTGCTGGGCGTGGTCGTGCTGATGTGTGGTCATGCTGAAGGTGTGGTCGTGCTGAGGTGTCCCGCGCCCTGTGATTTATCGATCGGGATTTCAAAAAGGGGCGTTTCGCCGGAGACATCCTCAAATTTTAATCTGCCGGCCTCCTTCGACCTCGATATTTATCAGGGAAAAAATCCGCCGGCCTCCTTCAAGTTGGCACCGGGGGACAGGTTTACCAACTAAAAGAGAACCCTGGGCCCAGCCCTTTCCGGGAATATCGAGGTCGAAGGAGGCCGGCGGATTAAATTTGAGGATTCTCAGGCGAAACGCTTTTCCCGGAAAGGGCTGGGGCCCAGGGTTCTCTTTTAGTTGGTAAACCTAATCCCCCGGTGCCAACTTGAAGGAGGCCGGCGGATTTTTTCCCTGATAAATATCGAGGTCGAAGGAGGCCGGCGGATTAAATTTTGAGGATGTCTCGAGCGAAACGCTTGTTTTCAGAATTTGTTGAGGATGTCTCGAGCGAAACGCTGGTTTTGCAGAGTTGGGGATGTCTCGAGCGAAACGCTTGTTTTCAGAATTTGTTGAGGATGTCTCGAGCGAAACGCTGGTTTTGCAGAGCCGACCGCGACGCGACGCGGAAAAGCGCCCCGCGCGCAGGAATTCCGATGATGTCTCGACTAATTCGTTTGTTTTTGTACGATGTCCTGGAATTTTGGCAGGATGTCTCGAGCGAAATGCACGACCCCACCCTTGCACGACCATACCCCAGCACGACCACACCCCAGCATGACCAGACCCCAGCACGACCCCACCTCATCACGACCCCACCCCAGCACGACCATACCCCAGCACGACCACACCCCAGCACGACCCGACCCCAGCACGACCCTACCCCAGCAAGACCACACCCCAGCACGACCACACCCCCGCACGACCTCACCACAGCACGACCACACCCCAGCACGACCACGCCCCAGCACGACCACGCCCCAGCACGAACACGCCTCAGCACGACCACCCCCCAGCACGACCACCCCCCCAGCACGACCCCTCCCCAGCACGACCACCCCCCAGCACGACCACACCCCGCGGACCACAACCCCAGACGACCACACCCCATCACGACCACACCCCAGCACGACCACACCCAGTTCGCACCCCCGTGGAGCAACCATCGCTGCCTCCTTGTTTGAAGTGGTTGCGTTGTCCGCCTCTCACGGCCGACGAACATGCGGGTTTTTTTTTTGGGGGGGGGGGGGGGGGGGGGGTCTCGTGGAATGTTTCCGTGAGGTGTCCTCGTGGAATTGTTTCGTGAGGTGTCTCGTGGTGTTTCGCGGGTGTCTCGTGGGATGTTTCGTGCGATGTCGCCCAGTTCCCGGTTGGGTATCGTGAAAACGTGCCATGCTCCACATGTCCTTTATCCCTTTCCGGGTTCGTGGGTCCATCATGTTTTTGAAATCCCGATCGATACATCACAGGGTGCGGGCCACTTTTTCGTGTGTTGAGGATGTCTCGAGCGAAACGCTTGCTCCGCAGAGTTTGCAGAGGATGTCTCGAGCGAAACGCTTGTTTTGCAGAGCCGACCGCGACGCGGAAAAGCGCCCCGCGCGAAGGAATTTCGATGATGTCTCGACTAATTCGTTTGTTTTTGTACGATTTCCTGGAATTTTGGCAGGATGTCTCGAGCGAAATGCACGACCCTACCCCAGCACGACCACACCCCAGCACGACCAGACCCCAGCACGACCCCACCCCAGCACGACCCCACCCCAGCACGACCATACCCCAGCACGACCACACCCCAGCACGACCCGACCCCAGCACGACCCTACCCCAGCAAGACCACACCCCAGCACGACCACACCCCAGCACGACCTCACCACATCACGACCACGCCCCAGCACGACCACGCCCCAGCACGACCACGCCCCAGCACGACCACGCCCCAGCACGACCACCCCCCAGCACGACCACCCCCCCAGCACGACCACCCCCCAGCACGACCACACCCCAGCACGACCACACCCCAGCACGACCACTCCCCAGCACGACCACACCCCAGTCGCACCCCCGTGGAATGTTTCGTGGCGTGTCTGGTTGAGTGGTTGCCTGTTCGTGGGGTGTATCGTGGAATGTTTCACGGGGTGTCTCGTGGAATGTTTCGTGAGGTGTCTCGTGGAGGAATGTTTCGTGAGGTGTCTCGTGGGATGTTTCGCGGGGTGTCTCGTGGGATGTTTCGTGAGATGTCGCCCAGTTGGGTATCGTGAAAACGTGACCATGCTGCACATGTCTTTATCCCTTTCCGGGTTCGTGGGTCCATCATGTTTATACATGCTCCGCGTGCGGATCATGTATTAAACATGATGGACCCACGAACCCGGAAAGGGATATAGACATGTGCAGCATGGTCACGTTTTCACGATATCCAACTGGGCGACACCTCACGAAACATCCCACGAGACACCCCGCGAAACATCCCAGGAGACACCTCACGAAACAACCCACGAGACACCTCACGAAACATTCCACGAGACACCCCGTGAAACATTCCACGAGACACCCCACGAACAGGCAACCACTCAACCAGACACCCCACGAAACATTCCACGGGGGTGCGACTGGGTGTGGTCGTGCTGGGGTGTGGTCGTGCTGGGGTGTGGTCGTGCTGGGGAGTGGTCGTGCTGGGGTGTGGTCGTGCTGGAGGGTGGTCGTGCTAGGGGGTGGTCGTGCTGAAGGGGTGGTCGTGCTGGGGGGTGGTCGTGCTGGGGCATGGTCGTGCTGGGGCGTGGTCGTGCTGGGGCGTGGTCGTGCTGGGGTGTGGTCGTGCTGTGGTGAGGTCGTGCTGGGGTGTGGTCGTGCTGGGGTGTGGTCTTGCTGGGTGGGGTCGTGCTGGGGTGGGGTCGTGCTGGGGTGTGGTCGTGCTGGGGTGTGGTCGTGTTGGGGTGGGGTCGTGCTGGGGTGGGGTCGTGCTGGGGTGTGGTCGTGCTGGGGTGTGGTCGTGCTGGGGTGTGGTCGTGCTAGGGTGGGGTCGTGCTGGGGTGGGGTCGTGCTGGGGTGTGGTCGTGCTGGGGTGTGGTCGTGCTGGGGTGTGGTCGTGCTGGGGCGTGGTCGTGCTGGGGTGGGGTCGTGCTGGGGTGGGGTCGTGCTGGGGCGTGGTCGTGCTGGGGTGGTCCGCACCCTGCGATTTATCGATCGTGTCGTGCTGGGGTGTGGTCGTGCTGGGGTGTGGTCGTGCTGGGGTGTGGTCGTGCTGGGGCGTGGTCGTGCTGGGGTGGGGTCGTGCTGGGGTGAATGTCGTGCCTGGGGGTGTGGTCGTGCTGGGTGTG